AAACTCTAAACTAAAAAAAATCTAACAACTACATATATAAGTATGAAAATTAAATAAAAATCTATTTACAAATTAAGAAAAACTTGGTGAAATAAATGTCTTTAAGTGTTTTTTGAAAGAATTCAAGGAATCGGCATTTCTTAAAGATGCGGGTATGCATATGCTGTTCCACAATTTAGGTCCTGCAATAGAAAATCTTCGATCAACATAAGACTTTAGCTTAGATCTCGGGACTTGAAGTAACTTATTCGAGCAAGAGCGCAACGAGTAGGAGCTGCTACAAAAACTGAGCAAATTGGATATACAACTTGGTGAAAGTCCATTGATACTCTCAAAACATGATGAGAGAAGTTACCTAAGAAAATGCTTTCGGGTTGTGTGTTACTTAGGGGGGATCTCTTAAACCATACAGTCTATCAGTACAGTGTGTATACCATTCTACATTTCACTGTTCCAGGTAAGAAAGGACAGCTATATAGCTTATGATAAAATGTTCTAGGCATTCAGATGGTGAAAAGTAAAGCAATAAAAAATGCAGGGTTTTTTCTTGTTTTTTTTTTCCTCTTTGTGCATTCCCCAATGCCTGAATGTCTGGAACAGATTACCATACAGTACTGCTTTTAAGCCTCCTCCCACCACATGTAAGTCCTACAGTTGTAGGCCCATTTACCAGTAAACAATAAAAAATGTCCCCCTGGTTACGAACCAATGTATGTCTGTTAAGCTGGGTGTTATATATTCATGCTGCTGTGTGAAAGTTACGATGTGCGCTGCTCTATTCTGAACTAGCTGTAGGCGGTTTAAGAGAACTTTAGGTAGTCCATATAGAATTGCATTACAGTTAATTGAAGTTGGTAGTCTCAAAAGCATGAATAATTGCTTCAGTAGATTGACGATCCAAATATGTTCTTATCTTACTAATATTAGTTAAACGGAAATGACATGTCTTGCATATCTTTTAAATGAGGTCTTCCATATCAGCACTGGGCCGACACCGTGAACTGAGTAAAAGCAGCTCGGTTTTTTCCTCATTTAGTTTAAGACCATCAAGAATCATCCAATTGTTGTTTCCCTGTACACAAATTTCAACGCTAGATTTTGCTGAGGAGAGGATATCACAACTACCTAATTTAAATGACATATAGAGCTGAGTGTCATCAGCATAGAGATGGTAGGATTGTGTCTCTTTATGATATCAGCCACAGGTGAACGGTGTACAAAACATATAACAGAGGCCGATGACAGACCCCTGCGGTACACCACAATTGAGTTCACGTAAAGAAGATCTTGAACATTCAATTTGAACAAATTGTGCACGAGATGACAGGTAGGATGCGAACAATTCTTGTACAGACGACCCTGTAATACCATAACGTTGAGACAGCCTATCCAGAAGTATTTCATGAGACACAGTATCAAATGCAGGAGATAAATCTAACATAAGTAGTACAACGGCTTTATTGCCGTCAATTGCATGCAGAATACTTCAGAAGCACGACTACTTGAAAAAAAAAAAAAACTGCTAGCGTAAAAATGATTGCGACGATGTGGCTAAGGGCGGTTCAGTGATTTTGCAATTATTGCGTGATCTGTCGTGATATTTTGTATTCATACTTCAGTTTCCTATTGTTCTCTAAATTGTGCAGTCATCGAATCCGACGCACGTTCATAATCACGCTGTTAAAGTAAAGATGTCAGTAAAGAGGTTTTCCAAGGTACACTGTAGATAGTCACGGTTAACATAAGATGCTTACACTACTTTAGTTTCTAATTTTTTTTTCTTACAGTTTCAGTAGTAAATTATCTTGTAACATTTTACTAAACATATTTCTTTAGTCAGATTCCATGGTCAACCAAAAGCCATTAAGGGGTCTTAAAATAGTGTCTGTTGTCCGAATGACGTCAGCAGCTTCTGCGAGATGAAAAGTAATTTAAAATTGCTCATTTGGCAGTCATTTGGTTAGTGTCGAAAAGTCAAGCCCTGCTGCGTTTTGATCTTGGTAAAACGAACAGGTCCGCAAGAAAAACTGTTCGAAGATGCAACAAGCAAAGATATTTCTCTTTTGTGTATGTTGGCTTCATGTTCGAGCAGAAACAGTGTCAACTAAGTATGGAGATATCGAGGGTCTCGTGGCTTCGTATCCGAATGCCTCTGGCCCGTTCAAGTCCGTCAGCACGTTTCTTGGCGTTCCGTTTGCCGCTCCACCAATTGAAGATCTAAGGTTTAAAGCCCCCAAACCGCCAAAAGCGTGGAAACCAACGGTTTTTTCGGCTAAAACACACAAGGCCATCTGTTTACAGTTAAAAGACCCTAGTCTTGAAATCCTTATCAAGTCAGTAACTCCAAATTTCACCTACAGCGAGGATTGCTTGTATCTCAACATCTTCAGCCCGAACACCAGCCTCAGTTTGCCAGTGATGGTTTACATTCACGGTGGAGGTTACGCCGTAGGAACAGCGATCACTTCTCCCAGCGATATTTTGGCTCTCCAGGGGGTGGTGGTAGTCATAGTCCAGTATCGTCTAGGTCCCTTTGGTTTCTTGACGACCGGTGACTCAGCGGCGCCTGGTAACTATGGGATGTTAGATCAAGTGGAAGCACTGAAGTGGGTGAAAGAAAACATTGAGAATTTTGGCGGGAATCCCAGCAAAGTGACCATATTTGGAGAGAGTGCTGGAGGAACTAGCGTGGGCCTCCATCTTCTTTCGCCTCTATCAAGTGATCTCTTTCATCAAGCCATTCCAGAGAGCGGTGTAGATTTAAGTCCCTTTGCGATTCAGCCAACGTCTTTTGGTCTCCGTTTCACAAAAGAGCTTTCACAAAAACTGAATTGTGGTTCCAGTGACCATTCTGCAATGGTTTCTTGTATGCGCAGCAAAACAGCGTCAGACATGCAAAAAGCCGCCGAGTCAATCAAGTTTAGTGTCATTAATTATATCAACTGGGCACCAGTCGTAGATAAAAACTTTCTTCATGATACACCCCAAGTTTTGAGGAAAAAAGGAGAATTCAAGCAAGTGCCGCTTATCATCACCTTCACAAGTCACGAGGGGGCGAGTTTTCTCGGAAACATGGTCAACAATTCGTTTGGGCTGATGGAGAACGTGGACAATGGAGTCAGTCCGACTTTGTTCAAATCATTTCTAACCAAGTTTGCTCAAGCTCAAGACAGTAGGTAAGTTCCGTTAAGATTTTACGAATGTTTGCTCAGTAGCTTTAATAGATGTAGTGACACTTTTGGAGCTTATTCGTTGGCTCATAAATGGAATGCAAAAGCGTCTTTCTTTTCCATTTTTAAATAAAGTGTTAATACATAACTGCAGCCTGTTATTACGATTCCACTCACGTTTAACGCGAGCTTACAGGATCGTAGCCAGCAAAAAAATTATGACTGAGGCAATGACCGTGACCTACATATTTGGGGTGTTACTCATCCTTTATTCGACAATAAAATGTCCTTTTATAGACCCAAAGCCCATTCTGATCTAGTCTATATCTTTGATATGAAAACGCTTTTTTTGTAGGGTTGTGGTGTTGGTGGGAGGGTTATTTAAAGATTAGGTTTGGTGTTCTAGGTTCTTGTATGCGGATTTTTATAAAAACAGTTTGTTTCTCCATATCACTACAGTGCCAAATTGGGATGATTTTGTGCACGTTAGCACTGACCCCACTGTACTGATCCCAGTGCTGTGGAACTTCGCGTGGCTCCACGGGGACTTTGCTTGTACATTAGGCTGCTGCAAGACAATTGGGCCTTTTTTGGAGCCCATAGACACACGGTACCAGAGGCCCGTTTTTAGAAAGTCCCGTCATTTTTAATGGTCCCGGAAAGAAGTCGTTGTTTACCTTAAATTTAAGATAGAGGTTTCGGAGGTTGCGATAGTTTTGCTGATAATATTGTAAAACCAACAGTTAACAAAACAAAATGGAGCCTTGTTTTTCTTTGGTGATCTGAATATTTGTTTTCGGGCTCGTAAATTAACCGGAACTTTCGTGAAAATGGCCTCAGGTCTTTAACCTCTGCAAAGCGATTACAGTCAAGGCCGGTCAAGCGTACCCCACAAGATTCTAGTAATGAATTTATTTTTTGAAAAATGAATGCGTTAGTCGTTCCCGAAACTAGTGTCAAATTCAAGTCGGCATTCCTGCACGAGTAATGAGCAGTGAATATTTTACGAGAACTTCTCTGTATTTGGTCAGATTGAAAATCTTTGAATGGATGAAATTTCTTGGAAGACATTTACATCAAATTCAGGGAAACTGAGCTGGTAGAAATTTCGTAACTGAATCGCGTGTGAATTCACGGCTCATTTTGCATGCAAGAATGCATAGACGAACTTGAAAACTACAACTACCAACAGGATCTTGGGGGGTACGCTTGACCTGGCTTGACTGTAATAACTACATCTTAATGGAAGAGTTAACAACAGCCGAAAGACAGTGGAGATGTTGGGGTACAGCACCCTGCCATGCAGCAGAGCCTTTTCTTTGGTCGCTAGATTTTGACTTGCTCGGATCCAGGGAAACTCTGCTGCATGTATCGAATAAGATCTTTGTTGAGCATGCGCGGTATGTTGCTAAGAAGCTCTAAGATATGGTTTCGGACCTGGGGCCTATTTCTCGAAAGTCTCCATAACTTTTCGGGCTCGGAAAGCTGTTTTGTGTTTGTTGTGTTTGCATTCAAGATCAAAGTTTCAATAATTTTGAAAATAATACAATGAACCTATTAGTTAACGAAGAAAAATTGACTGGAGCGTGGGCTAGGAACTGTGATACTATTCAACAGGTTTTGATTTTAAAATTTGCCTTCGGCAGGGGCGGATCCAGGATTTTTTTTAGGAGGGGGTGCACTCGTCTCTTGCTCTACTTCAACACCAATAAACCACAGAGTTTTTTTTTTTTGCAGAATACCAATTGTATTAGAAAACCGCAGGTCATCTCAGGGGAGGGTGCGCACCCCCTGCACCCTCCCCCTAGATCTGCCCCTGTTCGGGCTCGAAAAGTTTCCGGGTCTTTCGAGAAACGGACCCTTGGGCGCTTGCTACAGCGGGCTCGTTAATGACCATCAGTTCAATCAATAATAATATACAAGTAATCACATAATTTTTCTCGTGCAATTTGGAGTAAATAAGTACTTTCAAAGATCACAAAGTGCATATTTATTCCAAATTGCACTCGAAATCATGTGATTACCTATACTAAACGGATACTCGCTCTTGAAAAAAACAGTTTGAGGAGGGAAAGCAAAATCAGTGACTAGCCCAGAAGTTCGGGCTGCGGCAACCTCTAAGGCTTAATGTCATTCAGATCCAACCTTCTTTTCTCCTCCTCAGTCAAAATTAAGGAGGATCAGCTATATGTAGCTTCTGCTCGCAAGGTGCTGTAGAGACGCTTGTCTCCACAGGCCACCAACAATTCACATTTATTTATTTGTTTGCTTGTTCTTTAATTGCAAGCAGTGTTTTGCTTTCCCCTTTAAAATAAAACGAGTGAGGCAAGTACCTCGGATTGCTTTAAACTGGGCACGGCTATGGCCTTTGCAATAATCGTTTTTATCCGTCACTTTTTTTTTCAGAAACAAGACTGCTCATATCATCGCAGATGCGTTGGAGTTCATGTACACCCCTTGGCCTGACAAAAGTAATAAATACGCATTAAGAAGCCAACTTGTTGATCTTCTTGGAGATTACGTATTTTTTGCTCCCACTCACGAGGTTGCTGATGTTCACAGTCAGGTCGCTCCTGTTTACATGTATGAATTTGCTCAACGGGCAAAGTTTAGTTTTGCGGATGCAGAGTGGATGGGCGTTGTTCATGGTGAAAATGTTCCCTTTGATTTCGGAGTTCCTTTTTTTCCAATATTTTTTCCATTATATAGTCCCGGTGACAGAATTGTCAGTTTGTTTATTATGACCATGTACGCAAACTTTGCCCGGTCCGGCGATCCTTCAGTCAGTGGTGTCGCGTGGGAGAAATACAACACGACTCACAGAGCTTACCTTAAAGTGGACACAAGTCCCGAGTTGAAGGCGTCATTTAACCCTCGCAGAATGTCTTTCTGGAATGATTACTATCCTAAATTGGTGCAGCAGAAGTTCGATGCCAATAAAGAAGTGGTCAACGGCGCAAAGGCTATTGTTACCATGGGGATGATCGGAACTGCTTTTCAAGTTGTATTTTCAATGATGGTTTTTATGTTTTACTGAGACCTTGCTTTACGCCATGTCCTCATTTATTCAAACTAGTGAATTAGGTTTCTTTCCCAATGTTATTGTGAGCGGGAAGGTATAGCATGATGTAACTAATAATATTTTTTTTCTGAGTGGTTATTGCTGATTATTCTATATCGAGTTCTACGTTTTGGTAGCTTTCTATTTGTATTTGCTCTAAAGTAGCCAAACCTCCCCTTCCACAACTGGGAGGTGGGGGGAAGGTGTCTCCAAGGAAATCTGTGGTACAGTCCGCCTGCAATTATGACGTCACGTCTCGCCTCAGTAACTTTCAAAATGGCGAGCAAAGTGTTCATCGAAGAGACGGATAAAAATTTAGATTTTATCACGGAAATACTGTTCCGATTTCTTGGATTTGGAGATCTTAAGGTTTCTATTGTCATAGAAAACTAGAATTAAGTGCTTTTTTTGGAATCAAATGTCCAATGTGGTGTAATGAATTTTAAAGATTCCTTTCTATCGTCGAGAAAATTTTACGGGCAATTACACCGACCGGTCATACTTTTGAGGGCCAGTGCACAGCTAGATTGAGGAGTTTAGACACAGCAATAGTAGGTTCATCAAAGGATGTATTACACTTTACATTGTGCGTATTTTCAGCTCTTCAGAGCTAGTGGAACCCTATATCATTCCTCTCAAAGTTCGTTTAGCTGTAGCGTTGAAAGAGGACGCTAAATGACAGGTATTTGTGAGAGACTGTGAGCATTGAATCTTGTTGCTTTACCGCATTTTATTACCGCATTGGGCATACACCTGTAATTCTGTAATTAAATCCCGAAAACCAATAAAAGGTTTCGTTTAATTAGTTTTTGGGGAAAACTGACCCAGTGGAGATTTTAGGGTAATAATACTGATTGATGATGACGATGTACAAAGGCACTGGTTTAACTTTCGCCAGTGGGTCACTTGTGGGTGTTGGGTGTAAATTAGTACAGTTTGTGGTGTACTGTGTGTTGTTTGTCATGATGTAAACTAACATTAAAAAAAATTCAGCTGTTTCAGAGGAGGGACCTGTCTTGATAGCTTATGGTTTTTTTCTGGTCGTAAGCTTGGCCAGTATGCAGATCAAGAGCTTTTAAAATCCCTTTTCCAAAATAAAACTCCGGACTTAAGCTTAAAATATATATTGATCCAAGTGCATGACCAGCAGGGTCAGCAGTAAGAAAAAAGAAAAAAAGGTGTAGTGTTAAAAAAAGAGACCAAAAAAAAAAACGGTACAAAGAAATAGAAAACGGCGTGGCCGAGAGTCAAACCCGGTTTATTTGCACCACACATGACTTGAAAATCAATTTTGTCATATCAAAACAATTTTTCTCTGCCATAGACGCTGTTTGAAGCCGGTGGAGCTGTATTTATCATGAATTCAAACATACATTTGAGGAAAATTAGCAGCTTAAGCGCGTATTTCAAAGCTATTTCGCATTATTTCGGGTTCAACGGGCCGACTCGATGTAGATAATCGATCGAACCAGCCTTACTGGATTTGGTGGAGAATTAGGAGATCAACAGACGCCCACACTCGAAAGGAATGATATGAAGTTAGGCCCGTTTAATTAACAAAAGAATAGATGATGTCACTCCAATACTTGATTCTCAGCAAAAGTAACGGCCTCTAAATTATTTCCCCTCTTTTGCCCTCGTTTGTTACCTGTGGGAGATTAAGTGAGATTGTAGGGCAAATAACCTAATGATAATAACAATAATAATAATGATGATGATAATGATAATGATAATAATAATGATGATAATGATAATGATAATGATAATGATAATAAATAATGAATAATGATAATGATATATAATGATAATGATAATGATAATGATAATGATAATGATAATGATAATGAATAATTTCATGCCCTGGCAGTAACAATGCTTCGGTTATTCTGCATTCAACTTCGAGCAAACCAATCCATTTGAATGTTTCTTTGCTTTACTTTAATTGAAAATCGATCTAAAAACTAGTCTCGCCAGGTACCCTATTTTGCCGTCAATATTCAAATTTCATGTATAGTCTTTACATCGGGAGGTTATTTTTAAACATGATTTATAATTCCTTTTAAACCGGTATAAAAGTTCACTATAATTAAATTTTGGAAGGTAGTATTAAGGCGAATCCCGTATTTTCGAGAAAAGTAAAAAGACATTAGCTAGACATTGAAAGTTGAGCAGGAAAGGTAATAACCCCGAGCTACCCCAGGAGTAATAAACGAGCAAACTGTTTCTAAACCTTGGCAATCGAGTACTTTTAATTGGTTAGTTGGTAACCGTAATAAGGACCCAGCAAGTTTGATTTACCTGACAGACCTTTTTCTTCTAAGAAATGAAATAATTGTGGTAATCAGAAAGAAAATCTGTACCTCACCTTCCTCCATGCATGGCTGCTCCTCAGTCTACTCGTGGCTGTGAGAAAATAACCATTTGACCCACACCAATCTAAACCTCTTATTTCACTGGTCCCTGTAACCTGCACTACCTATTGTTTTCAGGGATAGATCGGGAGGCATTGTTATGTCACCATCCCCATTGTTTTCCCAGCCAATCACAAACCTTGCTTGGAATGGGTACAGGTCGGCCCCCTATAACAGCCGTAGCCAGGTGACTTTTTCGGCGCGAAAATACCTTCGACTTTGCTGAAGGGAGGGGTGGGGGTTGACGTCGTTGTTTTAAGCACTTTTTGGAATACGCATATTTTTCGAGATTGGTAAAGATCATTATTAGGATGTTACAACCATTTTTATGTTTTTTCTTTCATTAGGATTTATTTATTTCTTTTTTTAACCTCTTGAATTTATATCCAATAACTCGTTTTCTTGTTACTCCGTTACTGCGTCACTCTGTTTAGTAACACCTTAACATGAACTTCCTTTAGCTAGGATTCAAGATCAGGTTTAAGTCATTTTCCCATGCAGCATTGCATTTTATCCAAATTTCGTTGCCTGAGGTAAAGCAAAACATATATTGGTCTACCAGGCTTATGCTTGATAAATTCGGACCTTTATCAGTTGCGACTACCTCTCGTAAGCGACCAGCTTCCATAAGCGACCAGCTATTCAAAACCCCAAACCTTCCCAATCAAATTACTACAGTTGGACTCATATAAACGACTACCTCTCTTTATCCTTTTGTAAGCGACCACTTGACGCATGGTTTGATCTTCTTGTGCGCTGAAAGTATACTACGCCTCTCATTGCCATTGCTTTCAATATGTACGTACAGGGAAACCAAGTTCGCATTTACAATAAAACCTTGGGTGATTTTGTCAGTACTAATTATTCATTTAATGGCAAACAATGATGAAATAAACGTTCATGTTTCATAAAAAACAAGAGTTAATGAACGGTTTAGGCGCAATCAAATGATGCATTCTTGCAAGTTTTACTCTTTCCTTAGGGATCAAAGTCTTGAAAAGTGGGTGAAATACATAAAAATATTAATAATTAACAAGCGTTTTTACTTATTAACTGAGATTTTCCGACAACCGGCGAAAATTGAAAAGTTTAACCGACTACCGACAAAATTACTGAATTTTAACCGACAACCGACAAGTGGACCCCCCCATTCAGACCCTCTTCATAGACTTTAAGGTGAAAATTAAAGGCTAACTTATGAACCATTTCATAACCGCTTTAAGTTAAGAAGAAAGGTAACTGAAAGGTTCATTTCATAAACTTTAGGAACTGCTCCTAAAGCGTTCTAAAGTAACATTTAATTAATCTTTTGTGTCAACTTTAGTATAGCTTTAATTTTTCTAAAATGCTTGGCGGTATATCTTTGCTTTGCCTTTAATTCTACTTTAATGTAGTATTAAAGACTCATGTCATCTTTAATTTGTCTTTAATTCTATTTTAATGTTTTATAAAAGCCCCAAGTCATCTTTAATTTGTCTTTAATTCTATTTTAATGTTTGATAAAGGCACCAGGTCATCTTTAATTTGCCTTTAATTCCATTTTAATGTTTCATAATACCCCGCGTTTGTCATCTTTAATGTGCCTTCAATTCGATCTATTTTAATGTTCATTAAAAGCCCCAAAGAAGATAATAAGATAAAGGGATTAAAACTGGGGTATCTCAGCTTGTCGGAGAAAAATATCATAAGTTGAACACTGGAATCCATGACTGCATGGTTCCTCTTAAAGAAATAAATAAATACAGTGAAACAAACAAAATCTACTTTAAAATCAGTTTATTGTCAATAATGTCTAATTCTTATTTTGAAATTATTCACTGCCTACTTTAATGGGAAAACCATTTTGTGGTGAAAAAAAAATAGACCAAGGACCACAAATTCAAAAAGTTAAAAGTACATCTTTATCAAATAGGTTTTATGATCGTTAATTTATAGAATAAATTCACAACACTGTTCATTGTCACCTTATGAAGATAGTCCTGCAATCACACAGATGAAGTGGTTGAAGTATCAAGATCTGACGCTTGAGCATTAAGGGCACATTCAGGAATTTCAGGAGGATCACGTTCTGACGGCTCCGTACAGTTCTAGGCACAATCCTGTCACATGCCCTCTTAGACAGCCTCTTGTTATACTTTTTATCAAGCTGCTCTTTGATTTTTCGCAGAACTGTGCTCTCCCAAGGGAGCTTTTTGATAACTGGTTAGTGCCTCATTGCCATCTTTGTCAGCTTCATAACAGCTATCCTCGCTGCTCATTGTCTCCATCAGGAGGACCTCTTCTTCCATTCTCATGGTTGTCGCCCCATTTCACCATTTCTAGGGCAGCTGTCCTCCTTGTTAACTTCTAAAAGAAAGAAACAGAATAAGAGTAGGTGGTGGGCCAGAACTCATTACAATACAATCCAACTGATTCCACCATTGGATATGTAACAAAAGAGTATAATTAGATGAGACTTAAACAATATCCAGACTAATCTCTCTTATTATTCTGTACATCACAAAAATTAAATCTTATTATAAATTGTTGTTTTTTGAATCAAAGGATATGGTCAGTAGATATGTTATTTACTGCCTTTTCAGAGATAACAAGCCACTTAAACCAACTAAGCACTCAGGGTGCGCAGCAAATAAAACAATTAAGATTTTCTTGTCTGCGGCCAACCTGTCAATGTTTTACAAATGATATGAAGCTACCACTGGATGGTTAAAATCTTAATTGATGTTATATTTATATTATATCACGTGATCTGTTCCAAAATTAAAATAAACAGGAGATGGCCTAAATTTGTCCGACTTTAATGATGTGTGACTATTATATACATATGAATACAGGTAAATTTACATTAAGCAGTCCCACTTTCAGGCTGTTTAAATGGTCACTTCTTAAAACAATTAGCATACCGCTGCACTAAATGAAATTGTGCATTCCTTGTAATGAACTGTTTTGTTGTCTTTTTTTCTCTCTTCATCTGGAGGAATGGAAAACTCCTTGAGGTAGTTAAGGATTAATCCCTCGCTACTCTCACTCACTACTGTATCTTTCTAGTGTTTTTGTTAATGTTCCTTAAAGTGTTTTGAACCTGTATTAAATGGGTCAAGCTAACCCGTCATTTTGCCCCTTCCCAAAGGGTGACCACAGCAATTATAAAGGTTGGACTGTGAATTGCCTTATGTGAATGACAGTGTACCATCCATCACGGCCCTTGTCTATGGACACCTTTCTTCTCCTCCATGTTGGTGTAAAACTTGGGCCATTACTCTTTGGAAGATAGTAGCGTTGTTGTCAGAGCTTACTCTAAAAAGATATATCACCAAAGCAAAGTCACTTTCTTGATCTTTGATTCATATTGTCTCTTTGGCAGGTATCAGGTACATATTATTGACATCAATGTTCACTGACACTGGCATTTTGAACTTCTGAAGGAAATTCTTTTTAACCCTTTAACCCCTAGCAGCAACCAGCATCAAATTTCTCCTTACAGTATCACAGACAAATCAAACAGAATGAACTAAAACGATCACCAATGAACAGAGAACAGTGTAAAGAATATGCAAGTTGATTTTTGGGGTTAAAGGGTTAATCTACAAAAAAGGCAGGTGAAAAACTAGAGCTAAATTGGGTTGGAAGGCATAATACATTGGGTACTATTGTCATTCATGATGTGGAGGTGTTCACTCTTGACCCTTACAAGTTCTGTAGTGGCTTCCAAAGAAACATCCTGAGGTACTAATAAATCCTCCTGTCATTACTATTTCAGTTGGTTTTTATTTTATACTATGTGTAATTGACCTGTTCCAAATCTCCGTAGATTCCCTCCAGGTGTGGCCTACCATTGATGTATGTGCAGTAATTTACTTTCTCTTCCTTTATAACTTACTTGGTTTTTTAAGTGAAGCTAAGACCTGTTTGGTAGTTAAATTAAAATTTGATAGATGTTTATTATACTTACTCTTCATCAAGGTAGAAGCCGTGAAAGTCTGCCTTTTTAGAAAGGACCTTGTATATTTGCCTTAGTGTTCTCTATAAATGAAAGAAATCACATCCCTTTCTCAGTTTGACAATAATATGCTGGTCAAAAGACATCCCAGGTTATGACTCTCGGGGACAGGAGCCAGAACTTAGCATTAAAAATTCAGATGTCTGCTTTGGTTTCGTTTTGATGTCATTTATGTCTCACTCAAAAATCAGGTGGCTTGAAAAAATTAACTCCTGCGATGCCAAAAAAAAAAATGACGTTCCACGCTTATTGTCAGTTATTGTCACCACCTCATATGCCCATGTAATGGTACAGTAATTTATTACATGCATACATTTTTTGTGGCGGCCGAGGTAGAAAATACAAATGAAATCTTCCTTAATCTTGTTACATAAATTTCTTCCTTGTCTATTAAAACCGTGCAGGTTTTTTTCTCAAACAAAGAAATAAGTAAAATGAAATAAAAGTGACCTATTCAGCCTAAAGTGTCACGAGTGTCGTGTATCTGACCGAACGATAGTAATTTATGCAGGATTTGCGCGCCAAAACCATTCAAACCAATTTTACGCCTCATTCTGCATGTCCACCTACTTCAGTCATTTCAGTTTTGTGATGTATAATTTTCATGTAATTTTTTTTATAGCAAATCGTCTTTGCGTCATTCGAATGCACGTTTCTTTTGATACTTACCCTGCATGCCACAGGAAAGGCAATTGTATGAGCGGCAGCCCTGCGTCTGGAGCGATGTCTTTCGCCAGGAGCTTCTCGCTCATTTAACCTTTGCTCAATCCTTTGCAGGACTTGAGTTTGATTTCTTCTAGCTGCCTCGTGTTCTCGCCGTAGCTTCTCATTTTCTGCGGCGAGTTTTCGGTTACTTTGGATTAGTTCCTCTAGTAGCACAACACAATCTTCAGCCGATCGACCTTCCATAGCGAACCGATTTCTAGCTGCACAATAACAATAAAAAATTCCGAAGAACTACAAGCTTTCTCGCTGTACAGTCAGCTGTACAATAACAATTATAAATTCCGACAAAAAAAAGCATTAATGCAAGCCGTAAGCGCTAAAGATCTAGCCTTTTGAAACCGACAAACGAACTCTCAACAGTTGTATTATTCATTAGTTTCAAACGATGCTAATAATTATATGTATGTAAAAGTAGAAATCATCTTGCCACTTTTTACCCAGCTATACTGTAAAGCGTCAAATGAAAGACCTGGGCGTGTTCTGGATTTTTCTTATGAGCTTCGCAACAATTGTTTTTACAGTTGAACATTCCTGTTGATGGGAGCCATCACAACTTGTTTTTGTCCCTCTACATCCACTTCAGCTGATGCGAATCTTGAAAATATCCTTTGGACTGGCATAAACGCCGAGGGTCCTCCTGGATAGAATTTGTTTTTTAGACGCTGATTGGGTTGCCATATAGAGTAGTCAGGATTCCTCATGCGAGCGAGCGAGTGCACGTGGTTTGTCTTGACCCAAAAGGTCAACTTAATGTCACTTGAAATTATTAATTTTCAAGAATCACAAAGATGTTTTGTTAAGCTTTAATTAAGTACCCGAAAAGACTCTGAAATACAAACGTTCTTTCTGCGTTACTTTTACGAATGTTTAAGTTCAAATTAAAGATGAGGAAAGATCTAAGATCATTTAAAGGGCAACTCTCGGGAAAATTACCCCTGTTTTTTAAGTTCTCTATGGTTTCCTAATGGCATGTAATGTCTCTCTTTGGTGAAATTTCGGATATACCTGCGAAACTTATTTTTTTATAATTTTTCGAAAACTCGATTTTTGCCGCCATCTTGAAAACATTCGGATTTCAGGTTAGTAACGTGATGTTACGTCACACGTGTGGAACACAGATTGCCAAGTGAAGATTATACGAGAAAAACGCACCAAATTTCTCTTGCAAATAAATGAGAAATAGAGCCTCTACTGTCATATTAACGTTCAGGAAAAGCATTTCGATGATGGTTCAAATTTTTAAATTTACACGGGCATCAGATGCGGGTGATTTAGATTTTTTTCTGTATTTTATTTGTTAGGGTACTTTTGAAGCCGCGTGACACATTTATCGACCCGAGGTCAATAATTGTAAACAGCTAAGCTCCTAATCTTCTACGTATAATACAAAGAACATCTTTCCTATAGCAGATTTAAAATTCTGATACAACCATTAATGCTACCTGATGGGTGTTGATGCCCTTCATTCCTCGAAAACGACTTAATTTTTTCCCGGGAAATACTCGCATCTTTGAAGAGAACTCCGTCACAGACCGCCGTACCGGCCTGATTCTATACCGCCTTTTGTGTTTTCACTTAAGTGTGTTGTTCTCTTGTCTGAAATCTGCAGGTTCCATCCATTTACCTTTGCTTCAAAACACGCGAAATAAAACTCACTTCTCGCCGAAAATTGCGACTTTATGATCACCATTTTGAATATAGTTATTCGAGATGTGCTCTCGAGATTGTAGCGTCATTCCATTGCAAAACCTGCACACACGCTAAAATTACATGTAATGGGCCTTTTAAGGATGGAAAGAAATGAAGACAGTTCAAAAAAAGTTGATTAAAATAGGATTGCTTCATTATCTTTAGTGGTGCTTTGTACCCGTCCTACCCGCGAACACTATAAAACTGCCTTGATAGCCACGCGTGTCACGCTTCTTTTCCAATACTTCCCTTTGGGACTTCTCACAAGAAAGGAAAAAAGAAATAATTAACCCGTTTTTAAATCCCCGACGCAGTACTTTTGGAAAATTCCAAGGAGAAAAATGCGATCCATAACGGGAGTGAAAAAGGAGAAAGAACTAGGCAAGGTTCCTGCAGTATGAACCTTTTTATTGAAGGTTAGGCTCAAGCACCATAACTGAAAGTCTTTACTGGCTATTAAGAAAATTCAAGGGCTTTAAAAAACTACATGTTGAACCTGCAACTGAATACCCCTACACTACTTGCTGCATCCAAGGAGAGGCCCAACAGAGATGAGGCAATGGGTTCTTTCGTTAGCAGATAAAATCTTTCCAGCCTTGTCAACTAAAGAAGGACTACAATGCCCTGCAATGTTTTGATTCTTTGTAGTTTAGGCTAAGCTAGGTCACTACTGTAATTAGTGACTTAGATGACCATGCACTGTATGGTCCACTTAAACTGTGACCGGTTTTCTTTATTATTATTGCCTTATCAATTAAAATATGCAAGATGGAAACAATCCATTTGTGAATTCTAATTTAAAAATGAGGATTTCCCATTAAAACCTAAAGATATACAGCAATGAACAATAAAATACCATTTTATTATTAAGATATAAAGTTTCAACTTGTACATTACTTCCCAGTTAATAATATACATGAAAAAATTTCTCGATTGTGATTGGCTAAGAGAAATGCAGTTTTTTGGTAACACAGTGCAGAAAAAAGGTAATTGAGTGCAGAAAAGAGGTAACAAACGAGGCATTCTGATTGGTTAATGAACAAAGGAACTTACTGAGAGCCAATCAAGTGCGCCATCTGAATGGCGCAAAATTTGGGTCCGCTCTTGACCAGTTTCGAGCAAAAACCGCAATGGCTGGCGTTTGTAGCAAATTTGCTTTTGCGACCGCAACAACTATCGAGGACATGAAAAACTGCTCCAAAAACGAAAACACTGCAAAAAGCACCGATTTTTAGCTCTCTGTTTGGAAGAAGTGGTGCTTAGAGAAGAAAATTACAGATGAAATAGAAAATGATGAGCCGGCTGAGCTTAACACTTTGCTCGAGCATTTCTACGCCGAAGTAAAAAATAAACAAGGTGAAGATTATGAACCAGAAAGCCTCAAAGTAATGATGGCATCGCTTGACAGACACTTAAAGAACAACGGCTACACCTTGTCGATTGTACTTGACCGAGAATTTAGTTCGTCCAAACAGGTGTTGGAAGGCAAAGCGAAACAGCTTCGCTTGGCTGGCCGTGGTAAGCGCCCAAACAAAGCTCGACAAGTATCAGAGGAGGAAGAAGAAATTCTCTGGAAGAGCGGAAAACTCGGAGGTAATAACCCAGAATCTTTAATTCAAACAATGTGGTGGCTCCTTACCCAACACTTTGGTCGTCGTGGAAGGCAAGAACACCACGGAATGAGACTGGAGGATTTCAGAATCATGAACGGTGACGACGGCATCGAATTTGTTGAGTTTGCAGAGGGGCCTACGAAAACAAGACCTGGAGGTTTGAGTGCAAGGCCAAGACAGTTCCAGCCCAAAATGTTTCAGACCGGGGAAGGAAAATGTCCAGTTGCTTTATTTCGTGAGTACATTAGCCGTAGACCTCCCAATCTGAGGACGAGTGGTCCATTTTATCTCTCGATAAAGTATACAACAGACGAGACGACGACGAAATTTGGTACAAGGTACAGCCCATGGGAGAAAATAAAATCAACTCCATGATGAAGAGCATCATCTCCGGAACCAGCCTTGAGACATCTGAGAAGCGGTTTTCCAATCACAGTGCCCGTAAAACAGTAGTCCGCAAAATGAAAAAGGCGAATCTCGAAAGGTCGGCAATTGCAAAAGTCACTGGTCACAGAAATATCCAATCTTTAGATGACTATGATGAAGCAGACGAAGACGAACAGCGACAGCTTTCGTGGGCCACCTCACGAAAGAAAAGCACACCGAAGCCAGCGGGTAATACACCTGGTCCTACTTCAAGTGCAGTAATTCCTCATAAGATGAGTTCACAAGCGCAGAATGTAATGAATTCCTTCACCAACTGCAATGTAACATTCAACCTCAACAACAAGACTTCGCCTACCATTCGCCCTTGCAAACGGCGATTGCGTTTCATCGAAAGTGACTCCGATACAGATTGAACGATTCCATGAACTGTTTAGCCCGTTTCTGCGGCTTGTAAACTTTAAAAACGTCGAGAAAAATGTTGTTTTGACTGCACGTGTGATGATATTTGCAGCACTTGAATAAATTACTTTTGCACGTGGTTTACGTGATTTTAAAGCTATCTCGCATTTTTTCATGAATATTATTAATAAGTAATCACATGATTTTTCTCGTGCAATTTGGAATAAATAAGCACTCGTTAATTTTTTCAAAGACCACAAATTGCACCCGCCCTACGGGCTCGTGCAATTTTGTTAGCCTTTGAAAAAATTTACTTGTGCTTATTTATTCCAAATTGCACTCGAAATCATGTGATTACCTGTACTAACAATCACACCTGCTGGAAAAAAAAGGCTGACATGTTATTAGTCAAACACTAATCCGCCATTATTATTCAGAAGCTGTGAGCAAATAGTCGAGAAGAATTATGTATTTCCCACACACTGACACCATCGGACTTTAAAAGACCATGTAGTCTTATAGATTTTTTAGTTCCAACAATTATTGTTGACATTGTTTGCTGGGTAGCAATCATTTTAATGGCAACAAAGTTGCTCTAGCCCAGTCTTCCAGTGGTGAGTGAGAAAATTGCGTCATATTTTATATACAGTAGGGTTATTTGCAATACATGGTATATTTATTCATCTGGGCCCAGTTGTTCGAAGGCCGGTTAGTGCTTAACCCGGAGTTAAATTTAACCCTGGTTTCTTTTTCTTGTGTTCAAAAGCATTTTCTCGGATAATTTTCTCTCTTATTTTTAGAGCTTCCAATCATCAACTTGTGGACAAAAAGAATTAAAACTGAATTGCTTTTAAGCTTTCAAATCTTAATTCAAATCTCGTACTAACCCTGGGTTATCTTAACCCTGCTTTGAACAACTCGGCCCTGCACAATGGAATCCTGTGAACTCCATCTCATCCTCCAACCTTTCAGGCTCCTGGAAATGAGGTCGTATGCACTTAACTGCACAGGAATCAAGGACGGTAATGTAACTCCTGTGTCCCTGCCAAGGGAGCCCCAGTATCACCTTACCAATTGCCTGTAGGCAATGTGCCTGCTTTTTTTATGATCTGATTCTTCATATGCCGAGGCAACATGCTGCTGCTTGTATTGCCATTCAGCTCGTAACACCCAGTAATTCAGACAAACTGCCTGGAATCCTGGGTGTTCCACTATGCTCCTCTAGGAGGCTCCTCCATATTTTTAACTTCAACTGCCTCCAAATATTTACGTTTTACAACAGCCACCTCTTGGAAGCAGATATTTTCCCCCCATCCAATAGTAGTTATTTTCTTTAGTCATAAATATTGAACGTCGGTTAATGGAGGGCAACAGAACAAGTGTTGAATATTGACCTTTTCATTCTGCACCCAGAAAATTATCAAACTGCCATAAGTCAAGACAGAGAATATTATTTCAATTTTGAGCTTATTCACTCTTTAACGTTTATGGCTTCATCATACTATCTCCTGCCCATAACCACAAAATAGTTTCAAATAGGTACACGTTTTCAGTACTGGGTGTATTATAATAGAAGTTCCTGCAGTTATATCTCATCAAATGCAATATTATTGTAGTTAACATAACCATTGTTGTGCTCCAGGCAAAAACTTAAGTGAACACGACATGTCCCAACCTCGAAAATCATATACTGGGGAGCAGAAACGTTTTATGCAAGTAGTTAGTTCACATGGGTATGGAGGTGTATCTCATCCCAACTTTAAATTGTCTTAATAATAACATCAGGATACAAAGAAGCTAGAATAATAACTTCTGAACCAACAAATTCATTGACAGAGCAAGACACAGTAAAAGTAAGTGAACGACTTGTAGGAAAACAACTGTACAGCGCCTTTCAGTTATTATGTATAACAATCTGTATAACAACAAAAGAGACAAATTTTAAAGTGCAAGCACTCCACGAGTCGAGCATGAGCGGCTGTCAAGAGGCAAAGATATGGAAATTCATTTGCGTTGCAGTCAACGAATTACGAGAGCGTAGTTATTGCTTCCGATATAAATCACTGCTTTTTGTAAAACCACGATAAAAGCAGAAATTAAAAAAAAAACTACACTGAGACAACTTGCCCAGATTATCATTTCCAGTAGTCGTTAGAAGGGAAAGGTACGCTTTCGACTACTTGTACATATGAAAACAATGATCTAAAATTATAAACGCTCAGTATACAAAAAAAAATGCGTGTTTAATTAGTCCTTTTCCTTTAACAATTTGAAGCATTCATAGCAGTGATGAAATCAAGCTATTTACGGATCGCACTGCACACAAGAATTGTTCAAAACCATCTAGGCACTCACCTTTCTTCACTATCGAGATCGCAGCGGGCGAGTGGTAGGCTCGATGTTTTCTGGCGACGCACGAACTTCATCAGCCTCGGACGATCTTCCAGGCGGCTCAGAACGCCGGGGTTGAATTTCCGTGAACTGCTGCCCTATACTTCGCATTCTAAAAGTTTTTCTAGAACCGAATAATCGGACAAAGAGGTAGCGCTATCACTTTAAGAACTACAGTCGGCCATATTCGACATCATCTGTTGTTCCACACCTGTGACGTCACGTCACGTGATAGGCAAAATCGAAGCGTTAATGGCGGAAGTTCGAGTAAGCGGCAAATTTAACACTTTGAATCTCGATTTCTGAGCCAAATAGATCGCTGAAGATATATTTCTTGATGGTATTACAATGAGAAAAAGATTTGCAAGGTTTTTCTGAAAAATGTTGTCCTACGCGAGAGTTGCCCTTTAAATTTGCTTTAATTTGAAATTAAAGGTGCAACATTTTAATAGCTAATTTTGGAATAAATTAAAGACAATTCAAACGAGACCTAAAGGTTATTAGTCTTTAATGTAACCAAAAGGTCAATTAAAGGTAAACTAAAGGGACAGAAAACCTTTCGGAAATTTAATGTCACAATTAAAGGTAATTAAAGATGGAACAGAACTTTTGGTGAGGTTTAATTTTTCACTAAAGACACCAAAATGAAAGCGTTCTTCCTGTGTTTTCTTTCAGTTTAGAGTTAAATCTTTAGCTAGATGAAAATCTAATCTTACACCAACTAAATTAAGATTCCCAAGGTCCGTATGAGCAGATGCCTCGCTTTTAAGATGTGTGGGAAGGGCTGAAATGAGCTGATAGTAATGCAAAAAGGTGACTTTAATGTTGTATTTGACACCAGCTTCTTGAGGAGAAGGGTCATTGCCCTGATCGTTCAGCAAGTCCTGTATGAACATAACATTCTTGTCCCGCCAAGCATTCCAATAGACCAATTTGTTTTACGTCTCTGCTATTCCACCAATTTAAATAAATTCACGTTTCAATGGATCTTTATAATTGCTACGCAGTTCTTGAAAATATTCGAGCAGTTCTCAGTAAAACAGAGGAATTTTCTTGTCTAGTCAGTACTGTAGTTACAATTAAGTAGAAACAACAGTACCACCATAGTTTTCAAAGTTGTGGTTGGGGATTGCCGTCCAATTATCATTGGAGTTACTTAAAAGTCTGCTTATCCAACTAAGGCGAAGCGCTTTGACGGTAGTCTTGAAGCAACGGAAGTTCAATCCACCTTTGGATAGTGGGCGGAACAAAACCAGTCCTTTGATCTTATCTGTTTTATTCTTCCAAAGAAATGCAAATAGTCTCTTTTTGCGTCTGCAGGATAACTGTTTCTGGAACAGAAAGCATATAGATGCCGGAGTTGATTAACTGGGATAAACCGAGACATCTCGCAAGCAAAGTTCTTCCGCCAACAGCGTTAGGTCAAATATTGAGCTTTGCTTCCATTTTTCTTATTTTTATATGAAAATTGTTGTTATCTTTTCCAGTTTCATCATGGGAAAGAATGTTCCAAGAAATTTGATGGGGTCTTTCGGACACTCAAATCTAAAGGTTTGGTCTTGTCTTTGCTCAGCTCGTCTGAGTACCGATCCACAAAGCCGGACATGCTTTAAATGAATTCACTATTCGCATTTCTTAGTGCCCTGGTTTTTACGAGAATGAGTGTGGTGTCATCTGCAACATATGAAATCTTAGCATTTTGTCCATTTGGGAGCTCCATTCTTCGACTAAGTTGATTCTGGCGTACTATCAGGGGCTACATACAATTAGAAGAGGGCTCAATGGACACCCTTGGCGAACTCCTCGGGACACTAGTTAGTCATAAAACCCGCATTCATAACGCCAAATGCAACATTGTTATAAAGAATGGATATCCATCTCCTAATATTTGGGCCGAAGATGTATAGTTGTATACACTTGGGATGGTAATGATGATGCACTTGCGCTTTGCACTTTTTATTTGAGTGTCAATGTATTTAGCACGAAAGTGCTAATTGGGGAGACTATTTTTACGTCTCCTAATAGAGACGGGACCGCCATTTTACGTGGTCATCCGAGCCACGCGAAGGTCTCGCCGCTTGTAGTGCAAAGGAAGTACCTTCCAGTCATTTTAAGACCCTGAGTAATGGTCCGGCCCCGGGAATCGAACCCGCGACCTCCCGCTCTGCAGTCAAACGCTCTACCGACTGAGCTAATCC